AAGTGATACGCATTTTCCAGCAGCATACAGGCTAAGGAAATGAAAGGAATATGCAACAAAAAGGCAACAGGTCTCTCTCTTACCCATTCCCTACCTCACCTGCTTGTAGAAACAGCGAGGGGACAGTTCTTGTGTTAGAACATTTTCAAGCTCACTGCAGAAGAGTGCAGAAGAGTTCCAAGGAAAGGAACCGGCCTTTCCTATCCTCCCTTTACTGAAAAAGGTAGTTGGTTGGGTTGAAGGTAGGAGGAGGTTGTGGAAAAGAAGATAGCCTTTTTTTTTTTTTTTCTAGATGTTTCTCCAGAACTATTAACTACTCGAGCAGAAACCACTACTTCATTTTTTGTTGCTCTTGAAGCTATGAAAAAGAGTTCAGGCTTCACTTTAAAACCTCATGTGCCATGAAGTCAGCCATTCCTTGATTGCCTATTTTTTTTTCACATAAATTAAGTTGGAAAAGATGTAGATAATATCCCAGCCTGGCAAACATAGCCATTTATAAGTGATGCAAGTATGTTTTGCACTTTACTACCATCTTGATAAGAAGATACGTCAAAAATATTTTCTAGTATGTAAGAAAAAAATGCCTGAGGGGACACATAAAAATAATGTTTCCAAAACTGCTAATATATTCAGCAGCCAGAAATCAAAATGGCACTTAGAACACTGAAGTTTTTATTTTTTTAGATGAACTCAATCAACAACAGCCTACTTTGGCATATGAGGAAGAAAGGTCATCAGATAATTCTTTCATCTGTTATTTTAACATTTTCTTGACATTTCAGAATAGAGGAAATTTAGCTGGTTTTAGCTTGTTAGAATATTGCAAGATGAGATGCTGTCAGACGGACATTTTTAAAGTGATTTTGTCAAATAAAATCTTGTCCATAGTAAAGAAGTCCAATCGTGGCCTTAAAAAAAATAAGAATATTTCCAGTCAGGAGATTAAAACATGCCACCAAACCAGGGGCCAGTAAAGACAGGATGAAATTATAAATAGGTAAAGAAATCCATGCAACCCATAGCTGACCAAACTACCAAACCTGGTGTAGGTGGCAGTAGCCGTTGATGGATCCTGCACGCAAAGCAGTGGAAAGTGTAACTTCCATCCCCATGTCCTCTCCCCCATCCTCCTATCACACACACACGCATACCAAACTGTGGATACCCCCATGCCCTACATTCCAGCCCTGGAATCAGGACTGTGCAACCTGTCCCTTAATTGCAGCGGGGCTCCAGGCTGTCTCCCTCGCTGTGTTTTGGTCTTGCTCATGCGTCCCGGCCCGAAGGTGCTGTTGACACGACTAGCTGCCTGCTATACCTGGGCAGAACTAGGAAAAAGCAGCAAGTTACTGTTAACCAGCCCCAGAGCAGACTGGCTACCTGTGCTTCCAGGCACAACTGCTACTGCTCTGCACCATTCTGCAAACTGGGGTTTGGGAAAACCTGCAACAATCTTCAAGTCTGTACGCAACCTGCGGGATTTTTGTTGTTGTTGTTGTTGTATATTGGCAATGGTAACGCCACAAAGAATGATGCTGCACGATGGGGTGTTTCAGCATTCTGCCTGTCATTAAATACAGCTTCATGGCTCAGGCTAGGAAGGGACGATGCAGCCCTTCTGAAACCTGCAGTGTTATCCAGTCCTCTCGGAGAACGTAGCTTTGATGCTCTATCAGAAACCACGTTAAGTCTCTGCAGATTTTCCCGCTAACTTTATTAAGGGTGAATTTGCACGCTTAACAAAATACATTAGGGGCACAGGAACTAACTAGGAACTAACATGGGATCACATTCAGCACTCCTATTAGCATAACCATGCACTGTATCCAGTAAAGTCTAAGTGATTTATTAAACAAAGTAAAAATCTCATATGAACATTACTATGCTAAATATCAGATAAGTGAGTGTAATTTTCCACTATGTACTAGTCATCGACATAGCAGACTGGAAGAAATACTGAACCCTCCACTAAGAAAAATAGTAATGAGCTTTATGTTTCATTTCTCTGATGGTGAAACTAGAGAAAGGGAACTTAGGTCACTTTGCAGCCTTCTCGTTTTTCATAAAACTTTTTTTTTTTTTTTTAAATAAGGGATATGTGAAAGCATATCTTCCTTATATAATAGTCTCTGCATCTGCACCCTCACAAAGAAACAAAAGTGTTACTGGCCTGATCCTCTCAACACAAAACAAAGAAACTTTTCTTCATTCATCTTCACAGTAAACAGAACTCAAGTGGAGGAAAGCCTGAAATGTAAAACTTTGCTTTAGAGCCCTCATTCCCTTATATACAAGTAAGCAACTTGTAAGTTGATATTTAAATCCTGAATATAAATTTTATTCAAATGTCTCCATGTTCATTAAAATACATTAAAACATTGTAAACTGCACATTAAGCAAGTTAAATCACAAAAAGCAGCAATATTAAAGTGTAGGTGCACCAACAGAAGTAATGCCGGTGTTTTAAAAGATCTTTCTGTTGCACAGCATGTGAATGACCAGCGTACTTCAAAAAAAAATCCTTATTCAAGGAATTTTTAGTATTTTTAGTGAATTTTTAGCTACATCCAAGCCCTTTACAGAGTTCCAGTGAGCAAGATCATACATTAATTCAGAACCACATTGAAAAGCAGCAGCTGGAGAGGTCTGGCAGCACCAGAACGCTTGACTTGGTCAGATCAGGGTTTTGCAAATACATGTGCTGATGAGGCAGACTCTGCATGTGTTGTTATCAGACACCTGCCAAAGCATTTGCAGCATCTCGGTCAACATTCTATCTTCTACTTACTGTAATTTCTTATTTGGTTAGGATTAGGTTTCATTTCCCAAAGGGTAAGCGTTTGCTCAAGGGATTTTTTTTTCAAAATAATTTTAAATCCTGCTATTTATCTGTTTATTTTCAGTATGCTCAAACTGAGTAGAAACCTTCACAAGGTACCTGCATAACAGATGTGAGTGGCTGTCCTTCTGCACACCCACAAGAAAAAAAAAAAAGATAATTTAACAGAAATAATTAAACACAGATGACAGGGAAGAACAAGTTAAATGTGCACAGACAGAACATGCAAATTGCACCAAAGTGCAATTTGCTTACCAGCTTCTATTTTGAGGTATATACAGGATTGTTCAGCAGCTACTGAACTGATTGCTAAATTTAATGTAGTTTTTATTTCCTCATTGCTTTATGGGTTAATTCCAAAAAATATCTGGCAGCATTGCACAAATTAGCAGCAAATCCCCTCTCTATGATATTGACTACATTGCACCATATAGACTGGTAACAACTTAGAGGAACCTCCTTCTTCAGCAGCCACAACTATTGAAGACTGTTCCATTCTCCATTATGTTGAAAAAAAAAATCTGTGCACTTTTCCTGCTGTTTTAATCAGATCCTGCTTTCACTAGCTGTGTTCATTTTGGCGGCCACCACAATAAAAGTATGCAGGCTGTACATTTAATTCACTATATTTAGCAAGGTTTACTGCACAGCTCAGTAGAAACTCAAGACTGTTTAAGTTTATATTCAAATATTAGAATTGTAAAGAAAACAAGGGAAAAAAACAGAGTATTTAAGTAATTTTGTTCAAAAGAAAAATAATGAAAAGTGTTGTGTGAACTATTTATACAAAAGAAGCTTAAAAAGCCAGGACATGGGCTTCCTCAGTCTCCTTTCCCCCACCAACACCAGATGTCTCACCGACATGTAAATGAAATTTCAGTATTACAACTAGTCTGATTTTTCAAAGACAACTTGCAGTCTTTTACGTGATCTATTATACTAAGCTGTCAGCTCCCAACATATTCCCAATTAATCTTGTCTTGCCTTTCCCAACAGCTTTCCTTCAATGAAAATCTTCAAGATCTTCCTTAAATAACATATTTTTTTTTTAAGGACTACTGCAAAGAAAATGTGCAGAAGCAAAATTACAGCATTTACAAGCAGAGATTAATGTTTTAAAAGCAGGTAACAAAGAAATTACATGAAAACAGACAATTTGAAAACAGAATGCATCATACGAGAGGAGGATCTGGCTGATACAAGAATGCAAGATGTGCTTTGCCATGTATTAATACTGAAGTGCTGTGTGCGACTGACCAGATATTTACACTGTGGCATTAATGGGTCAGATTTACTGCCTTGCACAGTTAACACACCACAGCGCTGGCAGGTTTACAGTGATATCCAACACGAGGCCTACAAACAAGCCTAGAAAATGCATTTCTCTAGCAAATTTTAGCAAATTTCTCTAGGAAAATGAATGGGTATTCATGCTGGAAACCACTGTCACTTCTCCAAGAACAAGCTGATGATTGAATTTTCACATTTGTTATGATGACAGTGAATAAAGTAACTACTTGGACCGATTATCACTAAATATGATTGTTATTAGGGGAGCTTTATAACCTAAAAAATCTCCCACAAGTAAGGTGAAAGGCTTTTGTTTTTAATAAAAAAGTCAGACTGTTCTTAAATGCACTGTTAGGACATTGAAGTCCAAATGGGCACCAAGGCTGACAGTAATCCAGTTCTTGTCAAGATACAAGTAAGACTGCTGGCAAGAGGGACAAGAGTAACATAATGTTTTAACAACTGAGCAGTTAATTTATCTACAAACGTGGGTAACTGCAAGAGCACTCAAGGGTAAACTGTAAAGGTGTTTAAAGTAACATATGAGACATTAAGCAAAACATTTGCAGTTATCAACCTGGTCTCGAGCCTGCGTCCCAGGACCTCCGGGAAGAGGGCAGAAAACCAGAACACCTGGGTCTCAAGCACTGGTTTCTGCCTCACCTTCCCTTCGGTTTCCCTCTTCAGACAGAAAGACAGGGAAAGCACTATGGTACCTATTATTAAACTTTTTTTTTTATTTTTCACGGCTTTTCTTTTAGTTTTTAAACCGACAGCAGGCTCAAGGGAATGGACGGGCTCCACC